GTAATTTGCATTCGTACACCGCCAAGATCGCGAGTCTTCCCAGATCAACGAATTCAGCAGCTCTGATACGGGGGATCTTAAACGAGGAGAGTCCCGGGGCTATTGGAAACTTCATTCCCCGAGGAAATGGTTCCGGCAAGCCAAAATCTCGGGAAAGATCAATCATGAGAGAGCGATCCTCCTGGATACTGGTGCTGAGGTATCAATCTTGGATACCACCTTTGCTCGTAAGGTGGGATGCAATTTTGACACTAGTCAGAGACAGGAGTGTGTGGGTATTGGTGATAACGTGTATACTACGGAAGGAAGAACCAAGATCAAGATCACTCTAGCGGGGTACCTGATATATTTTTTTGACATCTGGATCGGAGATCTATCAGGACAGAACGCGATCCTGGGCATGGATTCCATGGTCCCAGCCGGTGTATGGATGGACCTCGCCGACGGATCGATGCGGCTACCTGATGAAGTGGGGATACTGCTTAATGGTCGTAAGAGATTGTATGGCGAGAAGGTGAGATCGGTCATTCTCGAACGATCTCTACGAATCCCGGTCGGCCAGTCGGAGGAAACAGATGTGCGAATAAAATTGTCGGCTACAGAAAAGTTGTGGGTCACCAAAGGAGAACGATGGATACCGACAGTTACGGAAGGTCCTGGCCGGATCCGCTACCTGGTGATCGTGAACATCGGAGATAGGATACTACAGCTAAATCACCGTCTGGACGTCGGCATGATACTGGATCAGGACAAAGTACCCTGATCACCAGGGTTCGTGTCCGTCGGGTCACATCGCTACCGAGAATGGCAGAATCTGGCGCTAGAATCGACCGTGGGCGCTAGATCCGAACCTACAGAGTCGATGGAGTACCTATCGGAACCGGTCGTTCTACGACCATCGTACCCCACGCCACGATCGATACTTCGCCGGCCGAGGTCCGATGAGATCGACAGAGATCGAACATTGGTATCGACCCTAGAATCCCGACCGAGGGCGGGAATGGCCGACGCAACGCAGATCAAGGCAGAGTTCCCCGACCCAGGACATCTACGCCAACGACTAGCCCCGATGCCGATCGATACCTGAACGGCGATGCTGAGGGCGGTGGGATAAGTGACAGCATGCCGGACCAGGCCACCGATCAGACGGGCACCAAGGATATCAAGCCGTAGAATCGGACTGGCACCAAGGATATCGAGCCAAAAACGGAAAATCAATCCAGATCCAACTCGATCAAGGCCAGATCAAACTCGATCCCGATGCAAATCCCCCGATCTGTCCTACTGAGGGCGTTGAACAACGAGATCCACCGGCAGAAGGAGCCACAGCAACCACCCCACAGAACGCCGAGGACGGGGAGGAGATATACTACCATGACAGCGGCGATCTCTCAGCGGAAGATCTCGAAGGAAACCTGGCTGTCCTCCCCGAAATCCCGATCTCGACGACTGCGAAGGTGAGTATGGAGGATCTGCAGGTGGGGGACTCCGGATCGGCCACACCTGAGGAGTTCGAGAGGCTCCGGCAAATAATCTGGAAGAAACGACACCTTCTTATCGGCAAAGGGAACGCCTTACCCCCGGTAGCCAAGGGCGTCGTATGCGATATCGATGATGGAAACGCGAAACCGATCGCACTGCGAACTCGGAAAGTGCCCACGCGATTCCGCGACAAAGTCGCAGGCCTGATCAAGGGCCTCCTGGCAGCCGAGATCATCCGACCCTAGACATCGCCATGGTCCTCACCGATCGTGATTGTCCGCAAGGGTAACGGCGTGGATATCAGGTTGTGCATTGACTACAAATTGGTAAACAGCCTCACGAGATTGATGGTCTATCCTATGCCCCTGATTAGTGATCTGCTAGAAGGTCTCGATAAAGCACTATGGTACTGCTCGTTAGACATGGCCAGCGGGTTCTGGGTCGTGCCCATGACGGATCGGGCTCGCGAGATCTCAGCATTTATCACTCCGTTTGGACTATTCGAATGGAGTCGCATGCCTTTTGGTCTTAAGAATGCCCCGCAGATTGATCAGCGCCTCGTAGACAACGCGCTGTATGGATTTTTGAGGATGTCGCGATCCGGCGACGCTGGGGCTACAACGGACGTGTTCAAGACAGGGATAGCGGACGATCTTGATCGCGAGTCAGTGTTGGGACGGAGATCATACATCGACGACATCATGATTGCAGCGGAATCGTGGGATCAAATGTGCCGAATAGTGGAAGATCTGTTGGAAGCTTGTGATAAGTGGAATTTGTCGATCAGTGTAGCCAAGAGCTATTGGGGGCATGTATATCTGGGACACTTGTCGATCGGAGGTCTGGAGGCGAACCCGAAAGTTCAGAAATCTCTGACCGATCTGCCGTTCCCCGGATCACTGCGATCTATGCAGTCGTTCCTGGACAGTCTGAATTACTACAGCCGATTCATCGAAGATTACGCTATCTATGCCTCGGTACTCTACGAATTACGGGAGGTGGAGTTTGCAGAACTGGAGAAACGATCGGATCTGAGGGAGATCATGGACCGGAATGACCCGATTCCTCGAGATCACGACCCACCGGAACTGACGTTGACGGGACCAGTGGACGAGAGATGGATCAGGGCACATAGAGCCTTCATCACTCTGAAAACCAAGTTCGCGACGACCCCAGTCCTCCGCCATTTCGACGAGACGAGAACGCCGGTAGTTATCGTGTATGCCCGTGATTGGGCGATATCCGCTTCGTTGACGCACACGACGGGATCTACCATCCGGTAGCGTTCGCCAGTCGCACCTTGAAGACGAACGAGTTGAATTACAATGTGACTGAGAAGGAGGTGTTGGCGTTGCTGAGGATCTTGGATCTCTGTTACAATTTGCTAGTAGGACGCGAGATCCGGGTCCTGACGAGGCACTCTACGTTGGCCTGGCTGTTCAAATTGACGGGGTTGCAAGGTCGCCTGGGACAATGGTCTGCCCTCCTGACCCCATGGACACTCGAGATCCCGAAGTGCACGAAGGGTGAAGATGAGATACTGGGGGCGATCGCTGCCAGAATCACGCCGAGGGCGAAG